ATTAGTTTGAGCACAGAGACTTTTACTTAGATAGTCAATAAATGTTTGGCATATTACTGAATAACGCATCCTTAAATAAAGTACATACCATTCTATAAGAGTAGCAATAATCAAATTTAAGCTGAAAATCGACTTGCATCTATTGTTCAAAGACTTGATATGTATCATTGTCTATTACTAAGTCCACACTGTACTCTCCACCTACTTTTCATTGAGCTGTATCTCAAAGTACTGACTCCAAATCAAAATATTCTGAGATAAAAAAATAAAGCTAGTTAGATCCACTTAACTAGAACTAGTGGTTAAAAAAACTTTATTTAACCTATAGCTATTTCTATCCTGAAATTCTATGAACCACATTTGTCTTTAAAATTATAGTAAGTAAAATGGGGTAAAGGGAAAAAATATGCAAAGTTACACAATCTTGTATGCCAAATATATCTCAATTTGAAAACAGAGGAAAAAGAGTTAATGGATTCAAATGCCATAGACTTAGAAGTTGAAAAAGTTTGTGAAGTTATCTGACTAATAAACTATGAGTGCCTTTCATTTTCTTTTGTGCTTTTCTGCATTTTCCAGATTTTCTACACTGAATGTGTATTACATATATAATTTGAAGTAACTATAAAATCTGTGTTGCCCATCCTGCCTACTTTCTAGTATTACTGCAATATTAGATGCTACCTCCTAATTTCCTATAATGGGTAAAAATAAGTGTGATGTTTGTAGATACAACATAACTAGTATAGAAATCCTTTTTGAAGTTTTCAAGGGAATATTTTTGGGATTAACTAGGATTAGAAATGCAAACTAAAGAAAAGTAAGCAATTTCTTTGGCCAATGATTATAATCAACTTCTTTTAGAACCATCAAGACATTTATCATCCTGGTAACAAATGAAGCCCCCTCATCAATGTGGTTACGTGTGAGCTTAAAACTATAAAGGGAAGTTTACCTTATGGATAGTCTTTAGAGAAATGTAAAAACCTTTTGGAAGGGTTAGGGTAAACATCTGACAACTTTCATTAGGAAAGTAATTGTTAAATGGAGAAAACCTGCAAAAAGGTTAGTCGCATTGTTGGTCTCTGTAGAATATTATACCTTATTCCCAACAATAAAGTACTGCTAAATTACAGACCAGCAAACAAAATGTGGAAGTCATTTTTCCTTATTATAGAGGAACCTAACAAGTAATATAATGTTTATACTAAGGTTAACTATGGTTAATTACATTTTTGACTAATTTGTAGAAAGTTCACACATCTGTAACACTGGAATACAAAACATTTTGTGGTCCACAGTACTGTGGCAGCTTGAAGAATGGTGCAGTGGGAAACAAAGAGAGCTGAATTCAACTCACACTTACAGTGTGACAACAATTTACTTAACATTCCTGCACTTAGTTTTCTGACTTATAAAATGGAAACAACACCCACCTTACTGGACTGTTGTAAAGATGAAATAAAGTACCAAGTACAATGTCTGACATATAGCAAAAAACAACAACAAAAAAAGAACCCAATGTGTTATTGTTACTCTCTTCTAGACAATGAAAGCTATACCTCATCATATTTATATCCTCCAATATATCTTTGGTATATACTCAACAAATGTTCTTGAAATGAATCCCTGTAACTTAAGGCTAATTATCTCAACCTTCCACATGAGCAAGTCACCTCTACCTAACTGCTACTGAGAATGGAATTTAAGACTTAACACTTTATTAGGCACTTTGATGAAGATGAATCTCCAATAATCAACAAGATAACTTTATAAGCATGTTACTCAATATTTGGGTCTGCATTCTACAAAATTACTATGATAGCCAACAATGTCATTTTGAGGTTCTTTATACGGTTTCCATTAATCCAGTTTCCTTGAAATAAACTTTGTTTTTGGTCTCACAAAAGTATCTCAGTAAGTTTCCCATTATACTTAAATACAAAATAAAGAGAGTAAGACACAAATTAGTTATGAGATTAAAAATTAGCAATGCCAACTGCTTGTACTTTTAAACGCCTATTTTTATTTTTACCACAGCAAATACTCTTCTTACACATTGAAGCCTCTAGCCATCAGTTTGTGTGCTTCATTAATGATTCCTTGCCAAATAATAAGCCTCCTAAATTACTATCAAGAGTTAGAAACATTATTCCATAGAAACAGTACAGTAACTACGAACCAAAACTGCTATGGTTTCAGACTGTCTTTGTCTTTCTACAACTACAAATTACTAATTAGCCAATTCCGACTCAAGTCGTAAAGTATCTCAAATTTTGCAATGTCATTTGAAAAATACTTTTTAAATGTTGAATATACATTGCTAAAGAAGTGTCAGTTTCATTAAAAGTCACTTGTAACAGGTATATTTCAGAGTGAGACAAATATTCCTAAGACAAGATACAGCAAAGTAAGTTTTTAACTATTAAATGCAAGTTTTAAAACTTGCTACATAAATTACTATTTAAATACTTGAAATCTGTATGTCAGGGAAGCTTTAAGAACTTCAAATTACACAACTTTTCAGTTTAAATAAATTCAAACAACTGAGAAGCTTTTTAAAATTTGGCTCTCCAAAGAGGTCTGATAAGTATTTGGTTACTGTATACTAGTTTCATGACCCAATGAAATAAAATGTTTGAATACATGGATGTATAAATTTTATGACCATTTATCTTAAGTTCTGATGTAAATAATATTCTCAATTATTTTAATAAACATGATAAAGTTCAAATGCAGTAACTTTTACTAGAACTAGGAATCAAATACACAAGAAAATGCCCTGTATATACATGACAACCTATAAGGTAGCAATAAACACTTATTCTTTTTCTGGAGGGATTACATATTAGTTTTTTCTAAAAGTTGAACTTCAGGTGTTCCCCCATTTTGGTCCCATTTTTAAAATAGGACCATATTTCTTCGACTTGCTCCCATATTATTTTCCACACTGATGTTATTAAAAGTACCTAAACGTTACATTCTCATACTCATGAAAATATATTCTCAGGTCGAGGCCAACTTTCTATATCTATGTCAACTTTCTATAAAATACAAATAAGGATTCCAAATTCTTTGTAACTGTGAAGCCACTTCATTTAAAGAAAAATGCTCATGTCATTTTCACGGCTTTTTCCCATTCAGAACCAAAGTGTACTTTTCATATTTCAAGACTAGGCAATGGAAAGTATTTCCAACGTGCCTCAAATTTTGTTTACAAATCTAACGCAAATTAACAAAACGATAAATTCCACTCATTTAGCAAATATGGTATGCTGAAAGACCTCCTTATAAGAGGCTAGGAGTAAATGCTATATAGCAACATGTTCAACGACATGCAGCCTGCACTGCTAAAGGATTCCAAATTTGCAACAGTGCACTATTCTACCTTGTTGAAATCTCTATTTTTGTGCAGGAAATGTCAAGTATTACAACAATACCTTCAAGCTTACATCTAAGTATCAACTATGCTTATACTGAAATTTACTGAAAAATACATTTGAACAGCAAAACATTTAGAAGCAGTTGCAATATTTAATTTCGACACCATCAAGATTCAACCCTTCAGAGTGCCTAAATTCAGTGGGCTTTTTTAAATGTTAAGTATGCTATTTTTTCTTAATTCCCATCTCCGGGGTCTTCTTAATTCCCAAGATGACTACATTAAAACAAACAAAAATAAGTTTCAAGCACGAAATTTTAACCCAAATGTAAACATCTCGGGAACACTTTAATGAAAAAGAAACCCATCAGGGTAGAATAGGTACCTCTGTACATTATAAAGACCTAAAAAAAAAAACTGAGCCCACATCATCAAATATATTTAGTCGGAAATGGAAAACAATACATGTTACTCAGCAAGGACTTAACTAATTAAGGAACATATTTTGTTCTCATCTTCTGCAGGCATGTGGTGCCCAACGATTTCCCTTAGTCGACTGCTTTCTCATTTGTAAACAACTTCTGTAACTCTTTCTCTGGTTTTCAAACCGGAGGGAAAATGAAAGTCTGAAAAGCATCAGCATCTGAGTTTCCGGATCTGAGCAGGGAGTAGCTGAGAAGGGGACTATGTAACCAGCACTTGGTAGAACAGGAAAGAAAAGGCAACCCTCAAATTAAAGAAATTCAGTCACCTGAAGACGGCTGGTGAAGTGAGGCAAGCACTTGGTGAGACACGTTTAAAAACAAAACAAAACAGAACTTGTCTGGGGGCTGGAAGTTATGGGGGCGCTCTTTGTGCGGAGTCTGAGGGGAAGGGGAGGGACCAGAAAACAGCTTGGGAATCATTCAAAGGAGTTTAAGGAGCGGAGTTCGAGGGAAGACGGGGCGGGGCCCGGCCGGGCGCAGGGAGGGGGCGACGGGGCGTCAGCGGACGGCTCGGACACCGAACGGGGAGGGGGCGGTGAGCTAGCCGCCGCTGGGACCGAGGGAGAGTACACTGCCGCAGCGGGCAGCCCGCCAAACAAGGGTCCTTCGGGCAGACGGAGTCCACTGGGAGCGGGGGCAGGCCAAGGCTCGACTGTGAGAGAGGTTCGGCCCCCGAGTGACATCCCCGTCTCCGCACTTAGCGGGGTAGGGGTGCGGCGGCCGCACGGCTTCCCGGGGCCCCGGACACACGCAGACTTTCTCCCGCTCCCCCGCCAGCGCCCGCCGCCCGAGCCACGGCCCTTACCTGCAGCTCCGTGAGCAGAATCTCCCCCCGCTCGGGGTTGGACGCCATTGCGCTCTGCCTGGACTCCGCACCTGGACGTTGCCGCCGCCGGCGGAGGGAGAAGGCGGGAGGGACCGGGGTGGGGGGTGAGCAGCAGGGAGAGAAAGAAATAAACTAGGGATTCATGGAGGCGCAGCCCCTGCTAGCGGCGCGGCTTATTTCGCCCGGTTCATGGAAAGCGGCGGGGAGCGAGGGCACTCGTAGCGGGCTCCCACTCGTCGCCCGCCAGCGCCGGACGCTCACTCTGTCGCTCCCGCTGGGCGAAACCAAGAGCCGCCTCAAGCTCCTCGGTGCGGGGCGCTGCGGCCGCGGCTGCAGCTCCTCCTGTCGCACCATTTGGCTGTCACTGCGTCGCAAAAGCGGCCTCACTTGGCGGCTGCCAGGACACGTGACGGCTGCGGCCGCTACCTCCCGCCGGCAGGGGTAGGTGGGGCGGAGGGGACCTGGAGGGCGGGAGCGGCGCGGGGGGGGCGGGGCGGCTTCCCGTCTGCGGCGCGGGTAACTAGTGGACCTGGCCGGGGTGAAAATGAGAGGAGAGGCCCGGGTCCGCGTCTCGTGGGAGGCGGGAAGAGGAAGCCAGACAACACACGCCCGCTTTCCAGTTGCGTTTAACGGGCCCCACCGTGAATGCTAAAATTGAACTCGGGAGCCTACCCTCTTGTTTTTTGGGTTGTTTTCTCCCAGTGCCGCTTGCGAAGTTAAGGCCTAACTTAAAGGGGCCCCTCTATAACCTCCACAATCCAAAGAGTTTTAGGACTCAAACTTCATAGATTTTCCCCGTCCCTCGCCTCCACTGTGGACCTAAACTATTAATTTTGACTTTTGTTCCCTCTATCCCCGTTGCGCCTTTCCGACCCGTGAGGTGCACCAGCTGGCTAAACTGGGGTGTGGTCTGTATTTTTCAGGAAATGTTAGTGGCTCGTGGTCCCTTGCAACTTTTAATGCACAGCCTTTAAGATTCCTTTTCTCAAGCGCTGAACTACTATGGTTTGGGCTGTACAACTCCACTGAATTTGGAATTTATCTGGCTTCTTGAATGGCTTTAATTGAATCAATTGAAGGAGGTAGGGCGGGATCAGCCCCACGAATAGTAAAATGCCAACTTTATTTGGTGTAGTAAATATACAAGCTAACCTGTTCATTAGTAACATACAGCTAAGTAGTGTTAAGTTTAGGTTTAAAAACTGACACTACAGTATTAAAGAAATCAAAGTCTCCAACTTTTGTCTGAGCAGTGAATGGATATAATAGGCAGTTGCCTTACTTTTGATTATTTGAGGCTGACATGCAATGGCTCTGTTAAAAGCTACGTGGAGAAAGTGGTAGGGGTGGGGTTATTTAGTTAGCTAGCTACTTAAAGGGCTTAGTTGGCATTCTTAAGTACCCTATTATGTACTCCTCTTATATTCCCTGTAAGATCTGTTGGGCTGACTCTAGGTGGTATGTTTATCTTTTTGTCTTCTCAGGTCTCACGCATTAATTTGACAGACATTTTTTGAAGGTTTCTAGTTCTGTGACCATGCTTTCAGAACTTCAACTCATGATAGATGATAAAGAAATTTTATGGTGTGTATTTTAAATTTTTACAACTTTATGGGTTTAATGCATTGCTTTGGTTGAAAATTATATTTACAATATATGAAATAACACTTGGAAAAGCCAGGATATAATTGACTTCCCTGGTATCTAAGAAACAGACAGTTCTAGGCCCTGGAGTTATATCTAGGCTTAAGTAACTCATTGTCCCTGGAGTGACTGAGTCCTTTGGAGAAACAGACTTGTGTCTAAACAAATATAATACAACTTTAAATGGCAGTCACAAAATGTTAGTGATGCACTGCATTCAGATACATACACATATATATTTTGTATGTGTGATAAAATGAACATAAATTTACCATTTCAACAATTTTAAGTGCACAATTCAGTGACATTAAGTCCATGCAGGTACATTTTGCTTATTTTTACCTTTCCTTACTCCATAATGGATTTGAGATGTCTGACATGAACACTGTCATTTAGTGGGTGCTTAATAATAATGGAATTAAAAATTACCTATGTAAGGACTTAAAAATACAGTCATGAGTATTCTTTTTACAAATAAATTGAGATATAACAGAGAAAATGTTTACATTTTAGCACCATGAAATTTTAGAACAGACAAAATGTCTAGCTTATGTCTTAGAAGAAAATAAGCCATAATTTACTCTTTCGGAGCATGGCAACATTACTACTTAATGGCAGAAATTGAGACAAGAAACTACATCTCCTAATTGTGAATCCCACGCATGTTTGAACATACACTAGGCTACTGTACATACTTTAAAATATAATCCTCATTTAAACTGAATCAGCATTATAGTCCCAAACTTTTTAGCATAGAAAGAGACTCTCCAACTTTACATATTTCTACTGCTAAAACTAGTATTAGTAATTTTAATTTTACATATCACATGTAAATGTAAGCAACAAACAAAATGTTTTTAAAGTTACAGGAATTATTTCTGAGATTAGTTATGATGAGGTAAACAGTACAATAAAAAAAAGGGAGGCCAAGACAATATAAAAACTGCTTGATAATCTGGAAGATGTGATAGTTTAAACAATAAATTGGTTTCATTTGAGCTAAAAACTACTACCCAGCTCACAGTTTCTGTTGGGGGGTGGGGTTGGGGTGGGGAAATAATAAGACATGAAAAATAAGCCCACTTGAAAAAGGTTTAATGGAAACCCCTATCATGTTGATTCAGAAGAACTGTATTCAGTCCCTATTTGCAAGAGTTTTTAGGGCATCCTAAGTATAGTTCTTCTCAATTCATTTTCTAATATATATTAATAAAAAAGAAAATTTTTTTTCTTTTTTACAAGTGTCTATGTAAAAGATACAGACCTCAAAAATACCTGAATTTTATTACTAGTTATATAGGTACTTTTGAAATTTTCTCATAGATAATTTAAGTCTTTAAGAAGTGGAAATGACCATGGACATATAGAAATAGTTACAATAATAAGAAGATAGAAAATGTTATCTTCTACTTTCTTTTTTTTCCATTAAGGTATTATTGATACACACTTTTATGAAGGTTTCACATGAAAAAACAATATAGTTACTACATTTACCCGTATTATCAAGTCCAAGACCCATACCCCATTGCAGTCACTGTCCATCAGTGTAGTAAATGCCACAGAGTCACTATTTGCCTTCTCTGTGCTACCTTGTCTTCCCCATGATCCCCCCCACACCATGTGTGCCAATCATAATACCCCTCAATCCCCATGTCCCTCTCACCCAATGCAGCCTCCCCCTCCCCTTTGGTAACCCCTAGTCCCTTCTTGGAAACTGTGAGTCTGCTGCTGTTTTGTTCCTTCAGTTTTGCTTCATTGTTATACTCCACAAAAGAGGGAAATCATTTGGTACTTGTCCTTCTCTGCCTCATTATTTCACTGAGCATAATATGCTCCAGCTGCATCCATGTTGTTGCAAATGGTAGGATTTCTTTCTTTGTTATGGCTGAATAGTGTTCCATTGTGTATATATACAATTTCCTCTTTATCCATTCATCTACTGATGGACACTTAGGTTGCTTCCATATCTTGGCTGTTGTAAATAGTGCTGCAGTAAACATAGGGGTGCATATGCCTTTTTGAATCTGAGAACTTGTATTTGGATAATTCCTAGGAGTGGAATTCCTGGGTCAAATGGTATTTCTATTTTTATTTTTTTTGAGGAAACTACATATTGCTTTCCACAATGGTTGAACTAGCTTGCTTTCCCACCAGCAGTGTAGGAGCGTTTTCCTTTTGCCACATCCTCACCAGCATTTGTTGTTTTTTGTCTTTTTGATGCTGGCCATCCTACCTAGTATGAGGTGATATCTCATTGTGGTTTTAATTTGCATTTCCCTGATAATTAGTGATGTGGAGCTTCTTTTCATGGGCCTGTTGGCCATCTGAATTTCTTCTTTGGAGAATTGTCTCTTCATATCCTCCGCCCACTTTTTAATTGAGTTATTTGCTTTTTCGGTGTTGAGGCGTGTGATTTCTTTATACATTTTGGATGTTAACTCCTTGTCGAATATGTCATTTACAAATATATTCTCCCATACTATAGGATGCCTTTTTGTTGTGCTGATGGTGTCCTTTGCTGTACACAAGCTTTTTAGCTTGATACAGTACCATGTGTTCATTTTTGCTTTTGTTTCCCTTGCCTGAGGAGATACGTTCAGGAAAAAGTTACTCCTGTTTACATTTTGCTTATGTTGTCTTCTAACCGTTTTATGTTTTCATGACTTACATTCAGGTCTTTGATCCATTTCGAGTTTACTATTTTGTATGGGATTAGACAATAATCTAATTTCATTCTCTGGCATGTAGCTGTCCAGTTTTGCCAACACCAGTTGTTGAAGAGGCTGTCATTTCTCCATTGTATGTCCGCGGCTCCTTTATAGTATATTAATTGACCACATATGCTAGGGTTTTTATCTGGGCTCTCTAGTCTGTTTCACTGGTCTATGGTTCTGTTCTTGTGCCAGTACCAAATTGTCTATCATGATTACTGTGTCTTTGTAGCACAGTTTGAAGTCAGAGAGCATAATCCCCCAGCTTTATACTTCCTTCTCAGGATTGCTTTGGCTATTCGGTTCCATATGAATTTTAGAACTATTTGCTCTAGTTCATTGAAGGATGCTGATGGTATCTTGATAGGATTGCATTGAATCTGTAGATTGCTTTAGTAAGGATAGCCATTTTGACGATATTAATTCTTCCTATCCATGAACACCGGACGTGTTTCCATTTATTGGTATCTTCTTCAATTTCTCTCATGAGTGTATTGTAGTTTTCAGAGTATAGGTCTTTCACTTCCTTGGTTAGGTTTATTCCTAGGTATTTTTTTGTTTTGATGCAATTGTGAATGGAATTGTTTCCTGATATCTCTTTCTGCTATTTCATCATTAGTGTATAGAAATGCAACAGATTTTTTGTGTATTAATTTTGCATCCTGCAAATTTGCTGAATTCAGATATTAGATCTAGTGGTTTTGGAGTGGATTCTTCAGGGTTTTCTATGTACAATATCATGTCATCTGCTAACAGGGACAGTTTAACTTCTTCCTTGTCAATCTGGATGCCTTTTATTTCTTTGTGTTGTCTGATTGCCATGTTTAGGACCTCCAGAACTATGTTGAATAAAAGTGGGGAGAGTGGTCATCATTGTCTTGTTCCCGATCTTAAAGAAAAAGCTTTCAGCTTCTTGCTGTTAAGTATGATGTTGGATGTGGATTTCTCATATATGGCCTTTATTATGTTGAGGTACTTGCCCTCTATACCCATTTTGTTGAGAGTTTTTATCATGAATGAATTTTGAATTCTGTTGAATGCTTTTTCGGTATCAATGGAGATGATTATGTGGTTTTTGTCCTTATTCTTGTTGATGTGGTGGATGATGTTGATGTATTTTCTAATATTATACCATCTTTGCATCCCTGGAATAAATCCTACTTGATCATAATGGATGACCTTTTTGATGTATTTTTGAATTCCGTTTGCTAATATTTTGCTGAGTATTTTGCATCTGTGTTCATCAGGGATATTGGTCTGTAATTTTCTTTTTGTGGTGTCTTTGCTTGTTTTTTGGTATTAGAGTGATGCTGGCCTCATAGAATGAGTTTGGAAGTATTCCCTCCTCTTATACTTTTTGGAAAACTTTAAGGATAGGTATTAGGTCTTCATTAAATGTGTGATGAAATTCAGCAGTGAAGCCATCTGGTCCAGAAGTTTTGTCCTCAGGTAGGTTTTTGATTACCAATTCAATTTTGTTGCTGGTAATTGGTCGATTTTGATTTTCTGTTTCTTTCTGGATCAGCCTTGGGAGATTGTACTTTTCTAAAATGTGTGCATTTCTCCTAGGCTATCCAGTTTGTTAGCATATAATTTTTCATAATATTATCTCATAATTCTTTGTATATCTGTCATGTCCATAGTGATTTTTCCTTTCTCATTTCTGATTCTATTTATGTGTGTACACTCTCTTTTTTTCTTGATAAGTCTGGCTAGGGGTTTATCTAATTTATTTATTTTCTCAAAGAACCAGCTCCTACTTTCATTGATTCTTTCAACTGTTTTATTCTTCTTGATTTTCTTTATTTGTACTCTAATCTTTATTATGTCCCTCCTTCTACTGACTTTGGGTCTCATTTGTTCTTCTTTTTCTAGTTTTGTTAATTGTGAGTTTAGATTGTTCATATGGGATTGTTCTTCTTTCCTGAGGTAGGCCTGTATTGCAATATATTTCCCTCTTAGCATGGCCTTCACTGCATCCCACAGATTTTGTGACATTGAATTATTGTTGTCATTTGTCTCCATATTTTGCTTGATGTCTGTTTTTATTTGGTCTTTGTTCCATTGGTTATTTAGGAGCATGTTTCTATGCCTCCATTTGTTTGTGGGATTTTTCATTTTCTTTGTGTAATTTATTTCTAGTTTCATTCCTTTGTAGTCTGTGAAGCTGGTTGGTACAATTTCAATCTTTTTGAATTTACTGAGGCTCTTCTGTGGCCTAGTGTATGA